TGAGTGAGTGAGTGAGTGAGTGTGTGTGTGTGTGTGTGTGTGTGTGTGTGTGTGTGTGTGTGTGTGTGTGTGTGTGAGAGTTTGAGGGTGTGTGTGTGTGCGAGTGTGTGTTTGAGTGTGTGTGTGTGAGCTGCAGCACATCTCCAGTCTGTCACATGTAATCAAGAATGTGAAACGCTTCTCTGTTGTTTCTGTCAGTGTGATGCTGACGATGATTTCTCTCCTGCAGGACGGACTGCGCAGGCTATCAGGAAACGAGTACATCTTAGCAACAAAACGTAAGCAGAGTTCACCGCTTTATGACCTTTGACCCCATTTCCTGTTCCACTATTCACACCGTTTGTGTTCCAGAGCTGCACCACATCCCAAGTCACCTGACCACACCACTGTCCCTCAACGATATCCCACCATGCATTGCTCAGACGATGGAAAATGAAGACTCATGGGACTTTGATATTTTCAACCTGGAGTCAGCCACCATGAAGCGGTGAGACACACACGACACACTCACTCACAAAACTCACGTGCATGCTCACACACATATACAAACACACAAAGTACATCTCAACACAAACTCATACACACACACACACACACACACACACACTTCATTTCATAGCCTTCTAATATTTTTATATCAAGCTAATAATAATGACAACAGAAAAACACAAAACATACTAGAAAACCTGAACATTCTGTACTTTGTTTAGTGGTTTGTTTTGGTTGGTTGTGGTTTTTCCAGTTGAGTGTCTTGTTTCACTCACATTGATTGTAGTATACTCCCATCTAAACACACTCGTGAAGTGTAGATTCTGTACAGGTGTGTGTGTAACGTGACGCTCCTCAAGCCTCTCGGTGTTTATTTCCAGGCCTTTAACGTATCTGGGTCTGAAGATCTTCTCTCGGTTTGGTGTCTGTGAGTTCTTGAGCTGTCCGGAGGCGACTCTGCGCTCCTGGCTGCAGATCATTGAGACCAATTATCACTCCAGCAACTCCTACCACAACTCCACACACGCCGCAGATGTGCTCCACGCCACCGCATACTTCCTGTGCAAGGAGCGCGTCAAGGTGAACACACACACACACACACACACAAACTCACACACACACACACACACGCACACACACTCTCTCTCACACACACACGCACACACACTCTCTCTCACACACACACGCACACACACTCTCTCTCACACACACACACTCTCATACACGCACTCAGACACCACACACACAGACACATTCAAACACGCTCGCACACACACACGCAGACACATGCAAACACATGACACAAACACGACACACGCAAACACTCACTCACATACACACACACTCTCTCTCACACACACACGCACACACACTCACACACACGCAGACACATGCAAACACACGACACAAACACACGACACACACACACACACTCACACACACACACACACACAATCACACTCTCACACACGCACACACACACCACATACAAACACACACGACACGCAAACACACACACCACACACGCAGACACATGCAAACACACACACACCACACATTCAAACACACGACGCGAGCAAACACTCGAGCAAACACACGACATACGCAAACACACACGACACATGCAAACACACATGCAAACACACACGACACACGCAAACACACGACACGAAAACACACACACCACACACGCAGACACATGCAAACACACAATACACACACCACACATGCAAACACACGACGCAAACAAACACGACATACGCAAACACACACGACACATGCAAACACATACGACACACACGCAAACACACATGACACACGCAAACACATACGCAAACACACACAACACACACGCAAACACACGACACACGCAAAAACATACGCAAACACATATGACATACGCAAATACACATGACACACACGCAAACACACACACGACACACACGCAAACACATATGCAAACACACACGACACACACGCAAACACGTGACATACGCAAACACACATGACACACACAAACACACACGACACACACACACACGACACGTGCAGACACACATGCACACACACACGCAAACACACACGACCCACAAGCAAACACATATGACACACATGCAAACACACGACACACACACACACGACACACAACACACGCAAACACATACACAAACACACATGACATGCATACACCACACATGCAAACACACACATGACACACGCAAACACACACACACACACACACACCTTATTGGGACAATAAAGCCCTCCCTACACCTCCCCTAACCATACCTGATACTTTATTTTCAACTTTTTTATTATTTCCTTCATTTTTATTGAAAATAAACGCCTTTCTAAGGTGATATGAGATTTGAAAAGGGAGAAAAAAAAGTTCAGCAAAAGGCGGGTTCGAACTCGGGTTGATCGGGCTTTACCATCTACGCCACTGAAGTTGTTGATTGGCGATTGTCTTTTGTAGTCACATGTTGGTGGGCGGAGTTAGTGTAAATAGCCTCTGCCAACAAGGCGGCCTATTTGCACTTAGAGTAAACAGACACTCCGATATAATATTGAATATAGTGTTTTCACTGCAAAACATCACTAAATGCTGCAAATATCACAGCAATTTTTGAGAAAAGCTCAAACTTTTTGGGCTGCAAAAATCAGAAAGAAGCTCCATGAAATCCAGCTGGACTGATGAATCTCCATCAGTCATGACACAAACACATGATCGGCTCACTTATCTCGTGAAGGGGTTCTGCTGATCCACACTTCATGCTGCTGTTTGTGCCGTTATTGTGTTTGTGTGATGGGATTTTGGCATGTGGTTTGTGAACATCTTTCACCACACAGAGCACTCAGCTGAAGTCATGTGACTCACAGTTGTTTGACTAGCAGTAGACGTGATCATCAGCGGATGCTAATGAAAGACGTGACGGTGTTAGCGCAGCGATCGAAGCTCGGTGTGGCTGCAGCTTCACTCTCCGTGTGTCTCTTTCTCAGCAAAGTCTGGACCCCATAGACGAGGTGGCGGCTCTGATTGCGGCTGCCGTGCATGATGTCGATCATCCTGGACGGACAAACTCCTTCCTGTGTAACGCAGGAAGTGAACTGGCCATTCTGTACAACGACACAGCCGTGCTGGAGAGTCACCACGCTGCGCTGGCCTTCCAGATCACCACACGAGACGACAAGTGCAACATCTTCAAGAACATGGAGAGGTACGCGCTAAACTGAGCCTCTCTGTTTCACACGCTGTGATGAAGCGTTCGATGCGCTCCTGATGCAGATGAGGTGAACTGTGTGCAGCTGGACTGATTTTCCTCTTGTTTTAGCGCAGTGGTTGATTGACAGGTGAGCAGGTTCAGGGTGTGTGTGTGTTTGCAGTATGATGAGATCTCATTAGTGTGGTCTCAGTGATCGGATCTCAGAGCATTTCAGACCCTGTTTACATCCGTATCGATCAGATCACTAGGGGTGGGAGAAAAAATCAATTCGCCTAACTATCGCGATTCTTTTTAAAATGATTGGTTTATCTCAGAATCGATTTATATGTAATAATTTTACTTTTCCTAAGAGGTGGTCGGGAGGGTGAAATGTATATCGACTTCAAGCCGGCGCGAGAAAGCAAAACCATGACAGGATCAAACCTCTTCCAGAATTCTTTCTGCAGCTTCACGTTTTGAATCCTAAGAGTGGAAACACTTTGGATTTTACACACTGCCGGGAAAACATAACTAAACATGACTAAAACCGTATGCAAAGTAACATAGTACTTTATTTTATTTCAGAAGTATTTTTTTTCTACTCATTTTGTTGAACTTTTGACTATTATATTCATGTGCAAGTTCAGGGTTTTGGTACTTGAAAGGTATTTTAAAATATGCACTGTGTATGTGTATGCTCCTGTAATAAACATTCAGAAAGATGTGATGCATTGTTTTTGTTAATAGGACTCATTTACAGTCTCTTTAAGGGTATAATCAAGTATTTTCCATTGTCTAGTCTTTAATAAGCGAACAAAATCACAATAAATTGTAATATTGAATTGCAATAGTCAATTATCGCAATATATATTGAATCGGCACACAAGTATCGGGATAGTATTGAATCGGCAGATTAGCGTATCGTCCCAGCCCTACAGATCACCTGACACACACACACACACACACACACACACACACACACACATCAGTGTTTCTACGAAGCGCTCAGTGAGCCTCAATGAGCTCTTTGTTTCAGGGAGGCTGTGCATTCCTCTCCACTCACTCACTTGCTCTCTCTCTCTCACAGGAACGAGTACCGCACGCTCCGGCAGGCCGTCATAGACATGGTCCTCGCCACTGAGATGACCAAACACTTCGAACACGTCAACAAGTTTGTCAACAGCATCAACAAACCTCTGGCTACACTGGAGGAGAACGGGGTTAGAATCACACTCACGCACACTCACGCTCACGCACACTGACACTCACACTCACACACACACACGCACACACTCACTCACTCACACACACACACTCGCACACTCTCTCACTCACACACATGCTCTCACTCGCAAACTCTCACACACACACACTCTCACTCACACACACACTCACGCACACACACACACACACACTCTCACACACACACACACACACACACTTACGCACACACACACACACACACACACTTACGCACACACACACACACACACACACTTACGCACACACACACACACACACACACTTACGCACACACACACACACACACACACTCACACTCACGCACACACATGCACACTCACGCACTCACACACACACTCACGCACACACACACCTCACACACACCCACACACACTTACGCACACACACACACACACACACACACTCACACACTTTCACAGACACACACTCACACACACACTCACTCACAGACACACATACACACACACTCACACACGCTCACACACACTCTCTCACACGCACACACACAGGTAAACGCTCTTTAATGACCCAGAGAGTGTTGGGTTATTAATGAGGATGTCAGTATTCATTCTGTGGTGTGTGTGTGTATGTGTGTGTAGGGTAATGGTGATGAGGATTCGGTGAAGAGCATCCTGACGGCTCCAGAGAACCGGATCCTGGTGAAGCGGATGTTGATCAAATGCGCTGATATCTCAAACCCATGCAGACCGCTGGAGCTGTGCATCGAGTGGGCCGGACGTATCTCAGAGGAGTATTTCGCACAGGTATGTGTGTGTGTGTCTGTGTGCGCGCGAGTGTGTGTGCGTGAGCTTGAGTGCGTGAGCTTGAGTGTGTGAGCTTGAGTGTGTGAGCGTGAGTGTGTGAGCGTGTGTGTGTGTGTGTGTGTGTGTGTGTGTGTGGGAACTTTCTGTAAGACATAACTTCACAAACAGCGTGAGTGAATCACTGCGCGCGCTCTCTTTCTCTCTCAAAATGCGCAAATGGCTTCAAATCACATCGCGTCTATAAGCGAGCTGCACAGTTGACACAGGAATCGTCACTTGCACAATCGAGGCAGTGTCACATCGTCACTAAAGTTGATAAATTGCATTACTTTTTAATTCTTGCCAGTGTTTAATCATTCAGCACCCGTGCGCTCTCCTGGAGACTGAGCGCTCATGCACATCACTCTCAGCGCACACACATAATGCCAAGTTCACATTATTCCGTTTGCAGTGCATACGTGGTGCGTATTTTTTCCGCGCTCATGTTAACGGATTAAAGCGTTCACTGCCAACTTAATATATAAATCTAGAAGTAAATGCAAAAGTAAAAAGCATTGAATAATGTGTTGCTTATATTTATTGTGTTTAAACGTCTGTGAAAGATTGTATTACTGTACTGTGTAAAAAAAGAATTGCAATGCTGAAAAAGCACTTTCAGTGACAATGTTTGGATTTGAAATCAAACTAATGGGTAAATGTTGTGTTTGTGGTAAACAGCCGCGGATCAGTAGCGGACTCCTGTGTGAAAGCTGCTTCTGTAATACACATGGACTGCAAACACACTGCAAACGGAGTGTGTGTGAACCTCACATACAGCTCATGAAATCAGGCTTGCGCTGTGTGTAAGCTATTGTGCAACAATTACACGATTGTCAAAACAAAAATGCACTGCATGATCAAACATTTAGGTGAGATAAATATATAATTTTTGAAAAATGTCTAAAAAATGCCCCGCTCCACCCCTCAAATTAAAAATCCCCCTCACCAGAGTCAGCTAAGAGGGGAACTCACCACATTTCCAAAAATGAAATTCAGGTCCTGAATAAATGTCTAAAAATCCTGATTGGAGTATCACTATAAATAGTTATAAATGATAAAAAGAAGGCTTTAAAAAGGTTGGTATCGGTGATGGTATCGGCAGATACTGCTTTCTGAGCACCCCTGTCTAAACCGAGCAAATCCAGAAACAGTGAGGCGCTGCAGGTTAGTGTGAGAGGAACTGATCAGCGAGTATAAACACAGCTGTCTCTGATTCACAGACGGATGAGGAGAAGCAGCAGGGTCTGCCGGTGGTGATGCCCGTGTTTGATCGCAACACCTGCAGCATTCCCAAATCCCAGATCTCCTTCATCGACTACTTCATCACCGACATGTTCGACGCCTGGGACGGTAAGAAACGGATCACTTCAACTAGATTCTTACTGCAATCTTTTTAAATGTAATCGTCTATAATGAAGGTTGAGCTGTGGTTATGCTGCGCTCCTGTTAAATCCTCCTGTTTAAATCATTTCAGATCAAATACATGTTGAACATGTTAACAGTAATAATAATAATTGTTATTTCTAAAGTGCCTTCTCTGTGTTTCTAGCGTTTGCTGATCTGCCCAATCTAATGCAGCATCTGGACAACAACTTCAAATACTGGAAGAGTTTAGATGAGAAGAAGCTGCGGAGCCTGCGGCCGCCACCGGAGTGACACACACACACACACACACTCAACACACACGTGAGAGGATGAGTGGAGTTAACGTTTGATGGACGGAGGGAAAGCGTCTCTTGTGAAGAAACACTAGCGATCGGCTCGACTGTGTCAGAAACACGTCTGTGGAGCGCTATTTATTTTGGTCCAGCTGTTCCTTGTTTTTGTTTTTTTAATCATTAATAACTAATGATGAGAATCATGTTAGCTAACATACCCTCAGAATGAGAGATGATCTAAACGCCAAAGGTGATTAACACGAATGATGATGTTATTGTATGTCAAATCTGCAGACTCAGAAGGAAGCGTCACGTTTTTATTTTCGCGAGCATCTGTGAACACTTGGTTTTCCTCCAGAGATGTTCTGTGTGGTCATCTACTGACGAGACTGCGGCCTTATTTTATACGCTCTATTTATACGGCGACGGACTTCTGCGGTTTTTAACACGCTCACATTATATGAAGTAAATCTCAATATTTTTATAGATGATCAGTTTTACACTGGAACGATGTAGAGCATGTCGGACTCCTCGGGGAGGGATGATCACTCATTCTTCATGTTGTTCAGCCGTCTGCAGACCGCCGGCTTCTCTCTCTTCAGGCTTCTGTTGATTGGATTCAGTCTGTGTTTCTGGGCTCAGACGGATGATTTATCCTTCAGCTGAATATACGATTTCTGATGTGATCCTCTTCCTCCGAATCACTTCAGCCCGGCCGCACTTCACTCCCAAATAAAGAGAAAAATGAGATTATATTTTGTATTTAGGACCATTATGATTTTTTTGCGTCGTGACATTGTTTTCATGATGAATTACCTCTTCTTCAGATTCCTCTTTAAATTCTCATCTGTAATGTCAAAAGGAGTTATTTAAAGTGTAAAGTATTTCGACATCATTGTAGTATTTGTTGTACTGCCCTTTTTGATTTAATAAAAAAGCTATTTTTTATTGTAAAGCAGAACTACAATAATAAAACTACCGTCCAGGTGAGACTCGGGTGACAATTTGTGCTCGATTGTCACCTGATAACAGAATCCAGGAGTGTTTGATACAGCGAGGCGTGAGCTGATGTGTGTGAGATGCGCTCTTCAGCATGTGCAGTGTGTTTGGTTCAGGACTGCTGCTGCTGCTGCGGTTCAACATGTCCCTAGTAATAGATGGAAAAATAGATATTCTTTGTTTAATCCAATTACATACTTCAGTCCAAAACGAATTAAGCAGATAACAAGGGGAAAATACGTGTTCAACGGAATAACAGAATTGACAAATATTACAATCCACATTAAATCTTAATCTCAGAAATGCCTTGGCAGGATAAATACCGTACACAATGTTAAAGTGCACTTCTTTATATTCTGGTGGAAGAGGAAATAACAAATATTTGTATCTAAATTCATGAACTGATTTCCTATTTAGATGTTGAAAAATATAGCTCCTTCTTATTGGACCAGGATAGCTTTCCTGCACAAGACAAGACACTTCTCATTGTGATACCTAAATATTTCACCTCCTTCTTAATTGAAACATGATATAATGTAATAAACGCAGCCCTGTTGAACAAGCACTGAGCCAGGCGTCAGCAGCTGCTGTGTTCCGACGAGCAGCAGAAATGCTTCTATCCTACACAATTATTCGCTAATATAGTCTGTTTTTCCACTTTGAAGCTTATTTTATTAACCGAATTTCTTGATAAATAAATAAAATTAATGGTTAAAAATGCACTTTAGAATCGATATTTTGATGCGAGGATTATTTCCTACTTTTTTCTACATGCATTATTCAAATTCCTTCAGAGCTAACATGAACATTTCTATTCATACTTCTTCAGAACGCCCAAGACTCTGTCTGTGTCAACTTTCACCAGATTTTACTGTAGAATTTGAGAGAAAATGAATAGAGCTGGGTAAAAGTACAGATTTAATAAAATATTACTCCAGTCAAAGTAAAAGTTCTCAGTTTTCAATTGTACTCGAGTGAAAGTACAAAAGTACCGATAGATGAATGATTATCTTGCAGTTTTATATAGGCTACTTTTATCTTTTTTATAATCCTACTGCTCAAAATACCTGGGATTTCCCCAAAATAACCAATAAGGAAATAATGAATATAATAAGGAAAATATAATTCTATTTTCATAATGATATGTTCTCCTCCAGCCTCTGTGGTGTAAAACACTCCTGGCTAAATGCCCCAGAGAGCATCACTACCCGCTCTGATAATTACTGTAGTACTTGCTCTGAACATCACATGCTTTCTTTCCCGCAGATGTGATCTATCTAACGTTAGGTGGCTGAATAACAATATTTGGACTTTATTTTTATTTTTTTAATTCCTCGATTTAGCACCAGCACGCTCGTTTGCTAGACAGTTAGCATCAGCTAACATTGACTTATTTTCAGCATGGTTATGAATAAACATTTATATTTGTCTACTCGGCTAGTTGATCAGCTAAGCTAGTTAATTCTCTGTAACTGCTGAATACAGGTCTTCGTCAGCTTTCTGGCCGCTTCGTGTCTCCGTACCGTAACGCCACAAACAGACGCGCAGCAGAATCCGGCTGGCTTGACCGCGGGGGGTAACCGGACAAGGCAAACAAACTTTGGGTTTAAAGCTCCACATCAGCGCCGGTTCGGTGTTCGGTGTCCAGCGATGGAGTGTGTTAGTTCAGATTCTCCGCTCAGAGGACAAACTTTATCCCGTTTGATTCTTTCTCTCGTCATTCGTCTGTGTTCACATGAAATTGTCCTGTTCTTCTGTAAACATTATACTGTAAAACTCCATATAAGCGCTCGGTTCTTTACAGGAACTTTAGTATGTAAATTAACATGAGTCTAGTCACAGAAATAAACGGGAAAATAAGAGAATGATTGAAACTCAACTAACTTAGTTCAGATTCAGTTGTAAATCAGCTCTAGAAGAGAGTCGAGTCTTTATTCGGATCAGTTCGGTTCAGATTGAGTCACTGATTGATCTGGTGTGTGTGTGTGTGTGTGTGTGTGTGTGTGTGTGTGTGTGTTAGTTTATTAGTGGAGGACATGAAGACAGACTCTCAGCGCTAGAGTTCTGTTGATACTCTCCTACAGAAACACATGTGGCGATGAGAACAGGCCTACACACCTAACACACACACACACACCACACACCCCTAAACACGCACACCACACACACACCCCTAAACACACACACCACACACACACACACCACACACCACACACTCACTCTTACACACACCTAACGCACACACACACACCACACTCACACACCCCTAAACACAACACACTCACTCCTAAACACACACACCAGTGATAGGTGGGTGTGTGAGCGGCGGGTGTGTGTGTGTGTGTGTGAGCGGCGGGTGTGTGTATGTGTGAGAGGCGGGTGTGTGTGTGAGAGGTGGGTGTGTGTGTGTGTGTGAGAGGCGGGTGTGTGTGTGAGAGGCGGGCGTGTGTGTGTGAGAGGCGGGCGTGTGTGTGTGAGAGGCGGGCGTGTGTGTGTGAGAGGCGGGCGTGTGTGTGTGAGAGGCGGGCGTGTGTGTGTGAGAGGCGGGCGTGTGTGTGTGAGAGGCGGGCGTGTGTGTGTGAGAGGCGGGCGTGTGTGTGTGAGAGGCGGGCGTGTGTGTGTGAGAGGCGGGCGTGTGTGTGTGAGAGGCGGGCGTGTGTGTGTGAGAGGCGGGCGTGTGTGTGTGTGAGAGGCGTGCGTGTGTGTGTGTGAGAGGCGGATGTGTGTGTGTGTGTGTGTGTGACGTGAAGCGGATGTTATTCCGAGCGAGGCATGTGTGTGCTGTGGCTCCGTCTCATCGTCTGGAGCTCCGCAGGGCGGCGTGGAGATGGCTGCTAAAATCAACAGCATGCTGATGGTCAAAGGCAAACTGAAGCCACTGCAGCTGCTGTCCAGTAAAGTACTGACCGTCCCACCGCTATCCCATGATGCACTGCTGTCGCTCTGAGCTCACGTGTGTGTGTGTGTGTGTGTGTGTGTGTCTTCTCTCTCTCTCTCTCTCTGTGTGTGTGTCTGCTCACTCTCTCAATTACATTTTGTTTTCAATTCATATTGCTTTATTGGCATGACATACTTGGGTACATATTGCCAAAGCATTGTACATAGCAGAATAAAAATAAACAAAACAAAAATACATGTAATCTCTCACTTTCTGTGTGTGTTTGTGTGCGTCTGCTCTCTCTCTCACTGTGTGTGTGTGTGTGTGTATTTTGAATTATCGATTAAAATCGGAAAAAACGCCCAGCCCTACCTGATCGCATGATTCCTGTTGAAACGACTGGATTTTGAACCTGAATTTCACAGAGCAAGACTGAATGTGAGACGGATCATGTCTTATGTGCCGCAGAACAGGCTCTGTGTGCAGTGCACTAATGCAGTGAAACAAACCTCTCCATCAGTGTGACCTCACAAACGACAGACGCTTGTGAAGCTGAAGGAACACTGATGGACACACACACGCACTCTGTTCAGTACTTAGTTTAGCCTCCAGTTAGGTGTGGTTTACATGAGGAGTGTCACAATCACGTTTATAACGATCCTCGCTGGCTCACTCCTGATCATGTGCTCTGCTGCCGCTCATGTTGTGATGGTGTGAATCTGAACAGGACACGCTTGTGTTTGTCAGAGGCAGTGGCCAGAATAAAGGAGATCATCTCTGAGGATGTCCTGCGCTCGTCGTGATGCCCACCATCCCGGTGTACCATCAGACCCTCAGCACCATCCCCAGACACAAACCGGCCCCGCCGCACATGGGGGTAAGAGAGAGAGAGAGAGAGAGTGTGTGTGTGTGTGAGAGAGAGAGTCTGCATTAGTGCACTGAGCCTGTTTTACTGCACATTACACACTGATTCTCTATAAACCTCTTCATCAGTGTGATCTCTTACACTACAGACATTAGTGAAGCTTTAAACGCTGCAGACACTCTCACACTCATCATCACTGACTCACTCCTGATAATGTGCTTTACCGCCGCTGATGGAGTGGAGCTGAACAGGAGGTTGTTGTGTTTGTCAGAGGCAGTGGCCAGGATAAAGGAGATCATCTCTGAGGACGTGCTGCGCTCGTCGGGTGGACAGCAGCCCGCTGTGATGCCCACTGTACCGGTGTACCGTCAGACCCTCAGCGCCGCCCCCGGGCACAAACCGGCCCCACCGCACACGGGGGTAAGAGAGTTTGTGTGTGTGTGTGTGTGTGTGTGTGTGTGTGTGGAGGCTAAGAAGGCGGGGCCTCGGAGCATGTGGTCTCTGCTGATACACGCCTCATACAGAAACAGCAGCCAGAATGACTCCAGCCTACAGACGGAGGTCAGAGTTCACTGCGCCGCTGACACACATCTGACCGTCTCTGAATCTGACTCCAACAAACCTGTCGTTCCAGACCTGAGTGATGCAGCTTCACATCTGCTGAATCTCTGACTCCTTCAGCCGTGAAGAGCGTGAAACCCTCACACAGAGAACGAGAGAATTCATTCTGCAGTGCTTCAGATGTCAGTCATGTGATTCACAAGCCTGAGTCACATGGGTTGTGTTTCAGTCCTCGTTCACTGGGTGCGTTTTCATGGATGTCAGTAATCCGTTTATTTACCTTATTCTGAATAAGACAATATTATGATTAAGATGTTTATAAGAGTTGCTTTTGCAATATCCCTTTCAAGATGGTAATGGTGCGATTTAAGTGTGTACGTGTCTATACTGCACTTTCATAACGCGACTAATTTGACTTTTAATTTACTTTATGATTTTAGCCAGATTAAGGTAATCAGAAATCTGTTTACATGGTAGATTCTTATTCAGAGTATTGTCTTAATCGTGTTAAAATCTGAATATTGTTACATAAGCCATGTAAACATAAGCGTGTGTTCGCTTCAGCAGTATGTTTGTTCTGCTCGTCTCGTTTGTGTCACACGGGTTTGTAACGACATGCTGTTTATTTGGGTTCATTTGATTTCTTTTGACAGTGAGTTCAGTCAGCAGGACCTGATGATGAAATATGATCTCTTGGATGATGTATGTGTTTAAATGATGTAGTAAGGACTGAATGTGCCGATGGCTCGTCTCTAACATTCACACTGCTATTGACGAATTGTTCTCTTTGTAAGTGATTTCAAGTTTTGTTTTGCACACACACACTCACTCACACACACACACTCACACTCACACTCACACTCACTC